ATTTTTTTCAAATGCAGTTAGGTCTGTTATCTGACTTCTGTAAGCATGGTGTTAGATCCCAAGCATTCAAAATAAATCCACGTTTAAAAGTAAAGCAAAATTTATTTCAAAGCGATGGTTTGATCAGGAACAAGGACATTGTTAGGAATAACTGCAACCGTACTGTGACTAAATAATAAAGGACATTGGTAAGGGCCAATTAGCCCCTTTCCCTCTGGCGGGAATAGAACAGAGAACGCGCGCCCAATTCCTTGGGAACGTAACGGTTCAACATATTACACAAGTTCAGTTCTCAGGCAAGCTAACCATAACAGCGAAGTGATACCATGATTCCCACCTCCAGCTGCTCGACCTTGGCCAGTTTCGCAAAGCTACACAGTTGATATAATGAAGCAAAAGGGTACACCGGGGGGGGAATGGTTGCAACAGCTTCTACAGGTAATACTATATACACCAGACATAATGGCAGCTAGCTGACACATGGGCGGCTTCTTTGAATCTAGAAATTAGTTGGAAAAATACCAGCCATTGTATTTTCTTTCCTTCCTCTTTTATTGTTTGCTATGACTTAATTTCTCCTTGTGGATTCTGCATATATTGATAGGTTATAAAGTCATTGGTTTTTCTCTCATACTTATCATGAAATGCATCTATTGGTGACATTATTGGAGAAGTCACTGGACTAATTCTTATTTTTAAAGAATCCCAGGTTTTAAGTAAACTGTCTCCGATTACATGAGGGTTTTTTACAGTTTGAGTTTTTTTCTGTATCCAAAGGAGGTTGTATAGCCCTTCAGTCCAGTCTGCAGTTTCTAATTTCATTACTCTATCATTTGGATTTTTAATCCAATCTGCAATCCAGACTAGGCTCATTGCTTAGTAATATAACTTCACGTTGGGGACCACTAAGCCTCCTCTATTTTTTTCTGTCTTGTAACACTTTAAATCTGCTTCTTGGTTTTTTGCCGTTCCATTATGCTTTTGCCAATCTTTCTAAGTTTTTTTCGTATATTAATTGGTATCATCTGGAATAAAAAAATATTTTGACAATATATTAATTGTGATAGCTGAAATTCTTCCCAGCCAGCATCATTTAATTAATTTATTTATTTATTATAATGTATTTAATTCAGGTATTTCTACCCCGCCCTACCCCGCAAGTGGGCTTAATTTGATTAGTGGCACCCTAGCGCCCCCGCCTGAAAAAATTCCTGTCTGAAGAATTATCAATGAAAACACATAAGACTGAAATTTTCTGGAAGCTCATTCCACCAGTGTGGAGCCGCCACTGAGAAGGCCCTAGCCCTCGTGATGGCCAATCTGGCATCTTTCGGGCCAGGGAGAGTCAGGCGATCTTGCGACCCTGACCTCAGTGCTCTCTGGGGCACATATGGGGAAAGGCGGTCCTCAGGCAGGCAGGCCCCTGACCATACAGGGCTTTAAAGCCCAAAACCTTGAAGAATCCGGTATGCTTTTGGCAGCCAGTGCAGTGCCTTCAGCACAGGCGGATGTGATCTGCTATGGAGAGACTCATCAGCAGCCTAGCTGCTGCATTTTGCACTAGCTGCAGCTTCCAGATTTGGGACAAGGGCAGCCCCATGTAGAGAGCATTGCAGTAGTCTAATCTCGAGGTGACCATAGCATGAATCACTGTTGCCAGGTCATTGCATTTGAGGAAGGGAATCAGCTGCCTAACCAGCCATAGATGGTAAAAGGCTGACCTGGCAGTGGCTGCTACCTGGGCCTCCATTGTTAAGGCAGCATCCAGGAGCACTCCCAAACTCCTGACCCTCAGCGCTGGCACCAGTGGCACCCCATCAAAGGTCGGTAGTGGGATCCCTACCCCCGACCTGATCCAACTCAGGCACAGGACCTCCGTCTTCGTTGGATTCAATTTCAATCGGCTCAGTCTAAGCCAGCCTGCCACTACTGCCAGTCAGGGTAGACAGTACAGCCCAATGGCTTGACACAGTAGAAGACAGCTTCATATATTTGTATAGTTTGGAACTACTGGTGTAGCTGCTGAAGCACGGGGAGAGAAGAGTTTTGTCCAGAGATAAGACCACACCAGATTCTTTCTTCAAGAGGAGAGCTTTATTAGAAGGCGCCTGGTCTAGCTTAACACACCAAGGTGTTATCCAAAAAGCCAGACCCCCAAGCTTTGCAGTCACCAAAGTTATATCGTATTTGCTTACAAGCTTTAATCATGTCACAAGCCTCAAGCAGTGGAAAGTTTTTAACCATATAGCAACACTTTCCTTATCAAAAGGAAACATCTTGGATATGCATTCTCTTTTACTTGCGGTTACAATGCCTATGTGAAGCTTAAACCACAGACACAAGTAGGAGATAGATAACAACAGACCATGCCCTGCAGAGGAAAAGGCCTCCAGCGGAAACTTCAAAACCACAAGCCTTTAGGTGAACAACAGGAAACAGATTGGGCCAGAGTTTTCAGAGTCAGACTTTTTAAGGCCTGAAAATGTCTGAAAACCTTGTGTGGTACATCAGACAGGGCTACTTAGATTATTAAAGTATTATTTTTATTATTTTGCTTTACTGCCTAGAATGACCCCTCTGCTGACCCAGTTAGCAGTCAGTCTGAACTGCTGGGAATTCACTTGGATGCCCAATGAGCTTTCAGTCCTTGACAAAACAATTGGTGGATGCTTATTTATTTTGATTCTAACCCAGCTTTTCAGTGGTAAGTTGGCTACCAAAGAAACTCACAGATAACAGAATCTAACTCAAAGTGCAAAACAAAATGTCCTTTGTGGAGAGAATTCTCAGTTATGCTCGATTCAGGCGTGATCAAGAGATGCCTGGCTGCTCCCTTCCCCCACAGCATTAGTGACAGCACTTCCTCTCATGAGGACTGGTTCTCCTTGTGAGTAGACGAGCCCTGACTGGACTCTTGAATGATTGAGGGTCTCTGGCTGAGGCTGGCTCAATGCTGCCTGCCTGGATAGGGGGTCAGAGTAGGTGGACACATTTGGGGAGGTATGGCCATGCTGTGCCAAGCAGACTTATGGATGAAGCCCAGATGGGCTGACACAGAGTTGGGGGGGGCATGGCTGCCATGGAGATGCGCCCGGGGGAAGACACAGGTGGGGGAAGGCAGAAACTTGCCCCAAGATGGATGGATTCGCTGACCTCTTGCAATAATTTTATGGCCCACCAGGCATCCCGGGCCCACAGATTGGGAACCACTGTCTTAGGTAAAGTTTGTTCTGGAGTTTTTATAACTTGAAATTACTTAGAGAGTGATCTTACTCAGATCTACTGAACGCGACTGCTTCCTGGAAAGTGTTCTTAGGATTGCACTGTGAAAGATCTAGTTTCCTTTTCGGGTAAATAAAGAGGCTGTCCTTACATTTGCTTCCTATGAATGAATTATAATTAAGATCTATTTTTAATATGTTGTCGAAGGCTTTCACGGCTGGAGTTCATTAGTTGCTGTAGAATTTCCGTGTTTTGTGGCCGTGCTTTTGGCATTGTAGGTTCTACAATGCCAAGAGTACGGCCACACAACCCGGTAAATCTACAGCAACTAAAGATCTGTTTTTGTTGTGATAATTTAAAGGAAGCGGTCATCTAAGTATAAGAGCACTGCAAGTAATCTCTCTGCATGTGTTCAGTTTCACAATCATTTTTAGAAGGCTGTTTTTTCTTTTCCAAGTGCAGCCACTATGGCTGCTTTTTGAAGGGGCAGAACTGCATGTGTGTGTGTGTGTGTGTGTGTTAAGTGCCATCAAGCCACTTCAAACTTATGATGACTCTATGAATTAATGACCTCCAAAATATCCTATGCTTAACAGCCTTGCTCAGGTTCTGCAAAGGGTTGTGGCTTCCTTGATTGAGTCATTCCATCTCATGCTGGGTCTTCCTTGTTTTCTGCTCCCTTCCACTTTCCCTAGCATTATTGTCTTTTCCTGTGACTCCTGGCTTCTCATAATGTGACCAAAGTATGATAACCGCAGTTTAGTCATTTTAGATTCTAGGAAGAGTTCAGGCTTGAGTTGCTCTAGAACCCACCTATTTTTCTTTTTGGCAATCCACAGCATTGGTAAAACGCTCCTCCAACACCACATTTCAAATGAAACAACTTTCTTCCTGTCAGCTTTCTTCACTATCCTGCTTTCACATCCATACATAGTAATGGGGATAACTAGTAATGGGGAATTGTACAAAGGGCTCTTTAGCCTTTTATTTCCTTTCTGTTTTTCCATTGGAAAACACTGGCCCCAGGTTTCCTTCACTGGTGGAAGTCAATGAGTACCTGTATTTCTTCAGTGAGCTGAAGATGGCTTGATCTTTGATCAGGAAAACTATGGAGGGAAGAGCTAACCCCTCCCTCTCTTTTCATTTTTCCTCTTCACAATGTAGCTATTAAAAACGTCACAGACTAAGCATATCACCCTTAATTACCTTCTTTAAAATTATCACTCGAAAACCAGTTAGTTTAAAGCTGCTCTGCTATATAATGGTTGAGAGTCATCATAGCAATGGGAGTAAGTGCTGCTACTTTTTTCTGACAGGGCTTCTTTGCCTTTGGGAACTGTCTGAACGGAACCAAAAGGGAGGAGCAAAACCTTTCCCCTTTACTGTTCACAATACTAGGCAAAGCTTCATCATTTCGTGTATTCACTAATTTAGGCCCCAGGACTTGTGCTTGGAAAAAGCTTTGCTATGCTAATCTGTCAGTTGTACAGTGGTTCATTTTGTGTTCTGGCCCCAGCTGGGAATAGTAGCTGTTGTACCAATGTTAGCATTTGTACAGTAAAGCTGTGCTGTGGGAGGAGGGATGTTTTTTAAGTTACAATGTTTAAATGCTGCCCCTTGTGTAACATCCTATAGCCACTAGAGTGGCCTGCTAACCCAGCACCAGAGCTATGCAGGCAAAAATCGAATCCTTAAGCTGTCTTTTTGTATTTTGTATTTGAATGGAAGGCTTTCCTGGAGATCAAAAAGTAGCTAACAAATGGCTTCATTTATTACAGGTCAAAGTGAAACGCAGCAGCCGGTGCTTTACTTGAAATGTTGCCTTACTGATATACTTAGAGAAAAGCTGAAGATCCCCCTGATCAATGAAGCAAGGGAGAAAGCTCTGGCCCTTGCCGCACAACTGCAAATGTCTGCTTTGGAGTATGAGCGAAGAAAGGTCACAGGGACACTGGAGAGCAGCAGTGTTCGTGCAGCCATTGCAGCCCTGGGGCTGTCAACAGTTGAGGTAAAGATTGCAGATACTCTTAGGTATTTATTTTGTTCATTGCATTTAAAATTGATAATTAAGCAAAGCATTTATTGCATAGCTTGAAATCTGAGAAGGCATTTTTATCAATTTATTTTTTAGTATAAATATTAATAGCGGAATTCTCTATTGTATTATAAATCCACCAAATAAAAAAGTTTGATTTTGTAAGAAGCCCTCTTAGCACTACTGCATGTGAGTAAGTGATACTCAGTAGGGAGGGGCAATGATAAGTTACTCCTGTGCTAAACTGTGGTACAGACATAACCTTCATGTTCTCCTGAACAACAGTAGATCAAGAACACACCATGGACTTGCACAATTCCTCTTGCCCTCTGACTAAATGGCTCACTTCCCTGACATGGCTTACTTTAACCACATTCTAGCATTATGTCTCTATCAGTAGTAATAATAAAGGTTTCCCTTGCTTGAAAGTCAGTTGAATCCAATTCTAGGGGGCAGTGCTCATCTCCATTTCCAAGCTGAAGAGCAAGGGCTGTCTGAAGACGTTTCCATGGTCACGTGGCCAGCATGACTAAACATTGAGGCACACGGAACACTGTTACCTTCCCACCGAAGTGGTACCTGTTTATCTACTTGCTATTTCTTCCTTTCGAACTTCTAGGTTGGCAGGAGCTGGGGCCAGAGATGGGAGTTCACTCCATCACGCAGCACTAGGGTCTTGAACTGCCGAGCTACAGACCTTCCAGTCTACAGCTCAGTGTGTTAACCTCTAAGCTGCCCAGGGCTGGCTCTTCCTCTAAGCCAACTAGGGCGACGGCCTAGGATGCAGATCTCCCAGGGGTGCAGCGAGGCCCCTGCTGCCACCACCCACCCACCCCCAGCATGGCTTTCTGAGCACCCGCTCCACAGTGCACCCCTTCCCGCTGGCTCGCTTCATCTTGCGCCCCTGTTTCCTCCCTCCTGCTCAGCGTGCCCCTCCGAGCAATCTATCAATGCAGAAAGGGCCTTAGTGGGGATTCATTTAGGCCCCCTCCTGGGCTGGTCAATCAGGGTGGCATGGCAGTTGGTGTGAGCTCCTGCGGTTGGGCTTAGCTGGGCATGCCCTGAGGAAGGTAGGGAGGACAGAGGCTGGCTGTGGCTCCGCCCCCTCCCTCCTCCACCCAGGTGAGCCATGAAGGCGCGGTGCCAGCCGCCATTTCCACGGCACCTTCCAGGGTGACGGCGCAAGAAAAAATAGCATGGCCGGGGCGGGGATGGCAGTGGCTTTGCTGCTGCCAGCCCAGCTGGAGAGGAGAAGCCCGGTGGTGGAGGGAAGCAGCAATGATTGCCGCCTGTTTGGGGGCCAGCCGGCGCTACCCAGTTTCCGCGTCACATGGCCCGTTTGAATGCAGATGCGGCTGCCTAGCCGAGGTGGCGGTGGGACAACTCCCTGCTCTGAGTCACAGCGCCGCTTCCCCCTCTTGGGGAGCCGAGAAAGAGCAGCGGCTGTTTCTGGGTGCGGGCTTGCCAGCCAGGCTGGATCACCAAGAACAGGCTGTGGAGCGCTGAGTTGGGTCATCCCGTGCATTGGTCCTGACGGTGCACGGCCCCGAGATCAGTAGGAGCAAGCTAGGCAAGCCGGGTGCAGGACCCCGAGTCTCTAGAAGGGGGGCCCCCTCCTCCAAGAGATGGGAACGAGCCCGGCTGGAGGAAATCTGGGAATGTGGAGAACGGTCTCCCATATCTTAGTCTGACACTCCAATCACTGCACAACATTGGTTCTCAAACTCACTTTAAAGGACAATCCTAATTAGCATTAGCTATGATTACTACCATGGAAGCTTGCTGGGTGACCTTGGGACGGTGACACATGCTTGTAGGCCTAACCTACCTCACAAGATGGTTATGAGGATGAAATGGAAGAGAAGAGAAAGATGTAAACCCCTTTAGGTTCCCATTGGGGTGAAAGTTAGGGTATAAAACCTGCATTGGCTCTAACGCTTTCCCTATCGCAGGATGCAGAACGGACTCTAATGCTGCACTCAGTGCTTCTGGTAAGGCTGCAGCCACCGCCCCTTCAACAGCCTGATATCTTCTTCGTGGTCTCTGTGCATCACACCCTTGGGATACTCTGCGCCTGCGCTGACCTTCTCGGTACCGATAGCTAGCAAAAAGGGATTTTCGCGCCTCTCCCAGGTCACGCGCCGGCTCCACTGCGCATGACCAAGGAGGGGCACGCAGATCCCGCCAGTTCTCTTCTGACCGCCGCGCTGGTAGGACGCCTTCTGCCTCGGTCTGCTAAGTACCAAACTTTTTTTGCTAAACTTGCGTTTAGTTAGTTTCTCTTTCTTTATTTTTGTAGTTAGCATTTTTCTTTCGGTGTTTGTTCTTTACTTACGTTTCCCCCCCGCTGGCCTATGGCCCCGCGGTGGGGTTGTTTCAAACAGTGTAGGACTTGCGGCCTTAAAATATCCCCCACCGATGGGCACGCGCTTTGCCTCGTTTGCTTAGG